ACGTGTTTAACATTTCAAGAGAATGCTTCTGGGTTTACATCATGAGCCCGTTGGGTTTTCTTCCACAAGAACCGTGTTTGTAAGCTGATAATCTGTGGCTCTGAAATGGTCAGAATTACAGAGTCTGATGCCAGAAAGTTGGAAAAAAACATCAACCTTGTGTCAGTTTGGATTAGTTTTTGTGAAATAAACCTGATGTTTTGGTCCTCACCTGGTAAGGTAAAAAAAATTAAATTGTATGTAAAGGTTTACTGATCCAAACGTCTAATTTGATTCAGGTTAGATCACAACGATTGACTCTCTGGTTGGACGAGGTTTGTGCTGACGCAGCAAACTGCTGTGGAAAATCCCCACTTTCATCTTCAGACTCTCAGGAGGTCGTCTTAAATTTAACGAGCTTCAAATATTTTTTTTTATTTACATCTGCGAAAGCCTCCTGTGACCCCCCAGACACCTTTAACCCTTTAACCTCCTGATCATCTGACCCTGTTGTCACCAGCATTTAAAAATATCCTGGAGAAACAAGAGCAACAACAAGAGCAGCTGTGAGTGTTTTCACACAAATAAATGAGTTTTAAATAGTCCCACATTTCAAAATAAAGTCCTGGGTTTAATTAAAAGAAAGCTGGCAGGAAWATAATAAAGTTACTCAGACCGTTACTTTTAAAATTAACTGTTATGATTAAAACATAAATCATGTTGCTGGAAAAAGCATTTATTGAGCCAATATCTTGATCCCATTCATGGCCTGAGTTAATAAAACAAGAGTAGTCAAAGAAATCCTTTTTTCTTAACTAAAAATGAGACCAAAGAACCGAGGATTAAGTCACAAAGTGGGGAAATATTGAGCATGAAATGTTTGCAACAATTGCATTTTGTTAAAACACAACAAAAAATCTGAAATATAATCTTAAAGAATTTTTGAAGCCCTTGTTTTGGCCACAAAAACATAATGTGGAGCAGAAAAGACACAAACCTGTTTCACTGCAAGCTAACAAATCTATTGTTTATTTTTTACTTTATAGCTGAGAAATCTTAGTATCCAAATATTTTTTGAAGTTTCCTCTTTAAAATTATATCAAAAATTCTCATTAGAATATCTTTATTCAGACCAAATTTCAATGAGACAAATCAAGACATGCTGTGGAGCTCATGTCTGACTGATCCAAATGTCTGAATGTAGCTTCAAAAGCAGAAATCTGAAAATGTGTTTTTGCCGTTCTGATCAAAWTTGATTTAAATATCAGTTTGATGTCATGAGTCACAAAAATCAAATCTGAAAAATAAAACAAAAGTTAGATTTCAGCACAAACTGCCCGACTCACAGACAGTCAATTCAAGCAATTTCAAAGTAAATTTAGCTAAATTTGCAAAAATAATAAAGATTTTAAACTATAATAGGTGAAGATATAAGACTTTCAACTGTGGGACTCACAGTTTATAAAATCAGGACAAAATAAAATAAAAACAATGATAGCGCCTCCTACAGGTGAGCAGGACTAAGTTTTTTTTTTTAGCCCTGTTCACCAATTCCATTTTTTATTTGGGAAAAAAAAACAACGTTTAACAATATTTTTATTGTCCTGATGCATCTCAGTAATCCAGGTAAAAAATCAAAAAGAAAAAAAATTGTATAGGTCTTCTGGACGGGT